GTGTGTGTGTGTGTGTGTGTGTGTGTGTGTGTGTGTGTGTGTGTGTGTGTGTATGTACAGGTATAAGTATGTACCATGTCTATATGTATATTATGTATGTATTTAGATAGATATATACGTTCTCTTGAGAGCATTTTATCTTTAATATGCCAGTGTGCTCACACAAAAATGACAATAAAAGTTATTTTATCTATCTTATTTTAAGAACATCACATTACATCTATAGTTTTGTGTTTACTGAGATATAAATCCTATCACATTCAACTGACATTTGAGTCACAATTGTTAAACAAATCACAAATATTTGTTAACTAATATTAACATGTCATTTTAACTGGTTGTTATATGATTATGCTATCTATAAAGTTTGCTTGAATTCCATTTTTACCTTCTCAGTCCAAATCTCTTTTTCCTTTTTGACATGTGACTTACTACTTATTTAATATTAGCATTAAATATTGTACCTGCTTAATTTTAAAATCACTCTCAGCGTTTTCAGCTGAACAATGAAGTAAAATATTTAAATAAATAAACAAATATTACTAGGGCATATTTTGGAATTTTAAAATAAAGCACTAAGGATAAGAACAGTGCTATATTTCATTTATCTGACTGAATATAACTTCAAACAAGGGAAAGCTGAATATCCACATCCAAATGGAATTGAATTAATTACCTTTAAATTTACCCATTTCTTATAAAATTATATCAATATAATGTACTCTACACGACACTCAATAAACGCTTACCTTTTTCTCTTGGCCTTGAAGAGAATATCTTCTATACTCGCTTTTAATGATCCAGATTCATCTTCTTTAAGAACTTCCCTACAAACAAAAGAAACAAAAAGAGTAAACATTCTGTAATGTACTTACAGCAGAATGCCACATTAAAAAAAAAATTAGGGAAACTTAAGTGCTGAAAAAGCAAGCTTACCATGTTCTTTCATAACCCCCTTCCCACCGTTTGGTTCTTTCAGGTTCATCATCCATTTCTTCGAGTTAATGTTTTCCTAGTTAAGTAACAAAAATAATTATCACAATCTAATAAAAGATTTTAAAACACTGTACTAGTAGCCATACAGATGCATATATTCACACACAATGCATACATTAAATGATAGAAATCTAATATAATCACATCCCTGAATTGTGTTCAGACTCAATTTATGTAACTGTGTTCCCCTCAATTCTGAAAAACAGTTTAGTGTATATTTGCTACATGAAAAACATCCAGTTAAGACTTAATTGGGGCCACAAAGTTCACCATCAGCTTTCATACCCTTTCTTTAGAATTCTGCAAACCTGTTAATGGTAATTATTTCCCCTCCATTCCAAGGCACTTCTACATCCTTTTTCTATTCTTTCTGTGGGAAATCAGCCCATTTCCTTGTTTTCTAAAATAACATTCTGATTCATTTAGGTTAACATCACTATTCTTATACATCTTGGACATTTGATTTAATTCACTATAAAAGGCACCAATTTGTGAATAATCATAAACTTCAGCTACATTTTTAAGCTGTTGTCCCAAATCTTTACTGTGTACATAAGGGCAAAAATACTTTTTACAAGTATATCCTTGGCATTTATGTAACTTAGAGTAACTTGTTATACGTTTTTTGACACATCTATTTATTCAGATAAGTTGGTAAAATATAACGCAAATAATAAAGAATATATAGCCAGTAATCTGAAAATATGATTGATCAGAGAGGTAAAGACATGATAATCGGACAGCGGGCTGTAAGGTGAACTTCTGAAACGGAAAACAGTAACACGAAAACACGACACCCAAAACTTGACCAAACTTTGACTGCTACAGTCGAAGAACAACCAGCCTCTATCATGTCCGATGTGAATCCTGGAGCAGCGGAAGAAATCGTAACAGAAAAGCATTTCGCACTCACAGCGTTTGTCAGCTGGCAGAAAGACTTAAAAAAAAACTCGGAGCGGGAGGGATTTACCAACCCTCTTTTTTCTTCGTCAAAAATCTGTTTGGAAAAACGAGGAGACAAACAAAAGTACACCCACCCACCACTTCCCTGAAAGAACCGGCAGCAACCCAACCAAACACCGCCTCCTCTCTGATTCCGTTCCCTTCTTTAAACACTCCGGTCGCAACGCGAAAGCGGTGTAGCATAGTTCCGCCGAAGAAAAAGCTCGAGATCGGGCGGTGGAAGGGGGGGGACACCATAGATGCAGAATAAATATTATTCTTGTTATTAGGTAATGGCTTANTTCTAGCCTGGTACCTTAATCACTGAGCCTCCCACACCGAAACCCAGGCAAGAAGCTATCATCCACCTCATCCTACTTCATTTAATACCTAAGTCTAATTTAAGCAATTTTATTTGAAGCAAAATGAGAAAATGAAAGTGTACCATCCCAAGTCGAACTTGTCCATGATGTTCAAAAGTTCTATAAAATAAGAAATAATTGTTGTAATGTTCATGATCTGTAGGTAAGCTGCTTATATATTTCATTTTGTTCATTTTCTACAAGGTATAATCCATGTAATTCATGCATTGATCATTACTCTCCAGGATTACTGTAACACATTCTATGTAACCTTTGGATATTAACTAGTCCAAAATAGCATGAGACCAGGGTTAGTAGTCTCATGTAGGATAATGCTTCTGAAATTACTGCACAAGCTTCCAGCTCCAATTCAAAGCAGTGTAGGCCAAAAAAGCCTTATGTGGCGTAGCACCTAGTTGAATGAGGCATCTTGACAGAATAAAAACTGTCAGTCTAGTAAGAATAACTTGGCAACAGTGAATTAAATAGTTAAATACTAATAAGAAAATAGGCCTATTTGCTGGCAGCCTTCATATCTTAGAACCAGAAATTAATAAAACTGCCTCCTGGTATCATTAGTACAGAGCTTTATTTTCCTATCCTTCTGCTCACAGAGTATCCATTTCACTTTGGAACTGTACTTGAGGCCCATGGGAAAATCGCATCTCCTAACATACTAACAACCATATTCTGCCCTAAGGTTTCAGTTACTGGCTTTTTAAAATTGCTTATTTGTTAATTTAATTAAATTAATGAAAAATAATTTAATTGCTATAAATTATGTTTTTTTTATTTTTAGGCTGCCTACTTATTGATTATTCTGAGCAATTTACAAAGGATTAAAATAATAAAAAACCAACCATACCCGAGGAACAAATCAGATATATTACATTTATGGTGCTTAGGAGAACATTATATAGTATAAAAGTAATTCACAGGACATATTCCTTCCTAAAAATCGGTAAGGTGAGAGCCACATAAATTTCAGAAGCTATATATTGTTTTATAGGACACATATCGCAACAGAGAAGGCATGTCCTCTGGGTCCTATAAAGTGCCATTGTTTAAGTGATTGGATCTGGAGGATACCAAGCTTTCCTGGTATCTGGAGAAGCAATCTTGAAAATATCCAGCCCAAGTACTATGAAGGGCTTTATAGATGACCAGAAACTCCTTGAAGCATACTGGTAAAATAGTGCATCTCATGACATAACGTTACATTGCTGTACTGATGTGCACCCATACCTACTCACACNTATATAAACTTTCTATAAAATTATGATCCTTGTGCATCACTTCCTTTGGTAAAAATCCATATGCATATTTATGAATTCATTTTATGTATATAAATATACATACCACCAGTTTCTCTGGCAAGCACAGTGCATACTCGAACTTCAGCAGAAAGACCAATAACAGACACTCTGATCTTAGCTGATTTTAAGAACTTTGGATGAAAAAAAGACAAAATAAAAAAACACACACTATCAGAATAAAAAAAATTAGAAAAGGAAAGAAACTTCCAATATTTCATAACACCCAAATTAATTATTTAATTATCAAACTAGCTCAATATGACAATTAAATAATAAAACAGAATAAATTCTGTACCTTTATTAGATCATATATATTTGAGGGATCACATGTTGTTAGGCTGCTGAGTATTACTAAAACTTCTCGGCTTGTATGTCCTGGCATGTGCCTAAAGACAATAAAATATTCACTTCTAATAGTTACAAGAACAAGTTCCAAATATATTTATGATTATATTGAATATGCAAGTCTGTTTGAAGCTTCAATTGCAAACAGATGAATATCTGTTTTATTAAATGGTTTCTATTGAAAAAATGTGGCTATATACAAATGCAAAGTTTACTTTGATTGTAATAAAAGACAAAGAACACAAATGAAAAAAAAAAAAATAAAGACTGTACAATTTTCCAAAATCAATAAGAAGACCAATTTGATAAAGCTATTATTCTAACACAGTCTTAACTTATTTCAGAAACCATGCAAGACTACACACCTTCCTGCAACAAAAGTTACCAGGATTTCTGCATATTGAAATCCAACAGAGCTAGAGGAAACAGGATTGGAAAAGCCATTCTAGGATCCTTATATTTCAAAATGATTAAAAGAACAAATTAAGGCAGCCAGTTTGGCATGCAGGCAAGGCATAGATTTATTCAGATTGAACAAGAAATTGACAAGATTTTATGTGGAAATCAAGTCAAGAAAAGGACCAGAGCATGAGACAAAAATATGTATTCAGACTCAAAAATTATTAAATTGCCCTGTCAATTTTTTGTTCTTTTAATTAATGCAATTGCTTACTGCTATTTTAAAATAAAAAATTTAAAAATCACTTACATTTCCAAATATACTTACTTTAATGTCTGGGTGGCTAAGTTTAAGGCATTATATAGAGAAGGCTCTCCTAGGCAGGTCATATCTACAGCTTTTTTCAGAGCCGTTATATGTTTCCTTGGATTCCCTATGAAAAGAAATTAACCTGTCATCACATATTAGTGTCCTGGCTCACTCCCAGGCTATGCAAAATACTCCCTTATGAATTGTATTTGGCTGTTATTCTCTCTGCCTTTAGAAAATTAAAAATGCATTTTAATGAACATGTTTACAAGATCAAATACATATTAAAATATTTGCATCAATTTCAGGAAGAAATAAGAACTGAGAAAACAGAATCACTACCTGAAAGTTCAGTCAATTTTTCAGCTCTTTTACTCTTAGTTACAACGATGCCAACCTGCAGGAAATTTGTTTGCCATTAATAGGATTCATTGAGCAATGAAAATTATATCTCAGAAAAGATATGGCTATATTTACATAACAGACAGGGTAGGGTAGCTCTGCAAATAAATCCTATTGCTTCTCTTTGTGTTACCACAGATTTTGCTGGGAAAAAGACTTAGTCAAAACAGTTATTGCAAAATATTTTCTGGTGCAAAATGCTTTAGGAAACATTTTGTAGCCTGTATCTTAACTAAGTTACATAAAGGAGTTCATTATTGCTTAATTGTGCTGTAAAACCATGGAATCTGATAATGCAGCTTTCCGAATGCTAGGAATCATTGATCTCCCTCTCCACTATTTTTTAAAAGTTTCTAATTTATTTGGCTACAAAACAGGCTTGATGGATGCTGCCTGATGAAATCAGAAGTCCGGGAGTGAAGGAAATGACAGTTCTAAAAGTTAGAGTTTCAGGATTATCATGCGCTCTTTCTCTATAATCCAAACAAATAAAGATTAATTACATTTATGGCTTTACTCATTCTAAACCATGCCAAGAATCCACTTGCGACAACTGGGAAAAAAGAAAGGATGCTTGTTTCCGCAATTCCAGATGGTTAACTAATCGCTACCACCTTACCAAACATTAAGGAGAAAAATTGATTACAGGAATGGCTGTCCTATGCATGCAGCATCCTGCCCTACATAATTTCAAATTCTATATAATCCTTTATCTTCCATTATCTATTTCATGCTGCCTTACNTTAACATTTTCTAATGGTGGTGTGCCTCGTGATTTTTTTCATGAAAAAAGTGTGCCTTTGCACAAAAAAGGTTGAAAAACACTGTTCTAGACCATTTTAAACAATAACAAAATAGAAGCCACCTTGAACTGAAGCCTGAAGGGGAACAATCCAGAGAATAGGTGATGCTACAAGGAAGGCACACTTCTGGATTCCTGATATATGACATGTGTCCATTACTTTATTACATCTAAACATATTGGCAAGTGGCATCTAATGCAGTTATCTTTTTAAAAAAATTTTTAAATAGTTCTTTAATTCAATTTTATCCCCAGGGATCAACTCCAATACCTATTGCTTATCAAATGAGTAGACTAATATACTTATTAGGGTTACCAATAATAGAATCCCAAGCTGTGCTACCAAATTGGTCTGAGTATTGCATTTCCAATTTGGCAGGTAAATATTTCAAGGACATTTCTGTAGGTGCAAGAAATCGGAAACCCAGGTTGTCCAAATGATTACAAGTTTACTTCATGGTATCGCTCTACAAAAATCTGAACTACTAATGGTCAAGGCAAATTGGCAGTAGATAAGAGTCAACAACATTCAAGGAAGGCTGGACTTAGATCTCTTGCGGGTATGAAAGAACTCCCAAAGTGATTATGTGCCTGACCCTTCCCTTGGGCTCAACCTTATCATCTCCTACAATTTACGGTATTTGTTCCCCAAGATAATGCTTCTGAACACACTCTTGGTTATTTTTCACAGAGAAAAGGATTGATGAGTTTTTCTAAATCTCGAATTTGATCATTCATGAAGAAACTCGAGATAGTCCAGAAATGAAACTAAACCTAATGTTCCTACACATATATGAAGCAAAACAATTGATTTGTTTATACATTGACAAAGTTGTATTTTATTGACACTGTATCACAAATTGCAAAATGAAATCCAGTCTTTCAATATGTAGATATTGCATTCTAGGTACATATTTTAAACACAATTTCCATTATTTAAAAAAAAGTGATTTTTTAAAAACAAAAATTATTACAGTGTTTACATAAATGTACAGTAGATGGATCCAAACAGTCACATTTCGAAGTGTGGGACTTATTAGTCATGACAGAATCCTACTGGTCTTAATTGAGTTTTAAAAACATGGTTCAACAGACCCTGCAACATAGTCCAACAGACTCTCTGACTGCATAACTTCTGGTGTCCTTTCCAACTCTATGGCTCTACAGTCAAACTTGTTTGCAATCCCATAGTTTAGACTCATCATATACCTCTGCTAATTGTATGGCATGCATTCCTTTTATTCCCCATCATCTCTCCCCACCTCTAATTCAGGATGCAGCCACTGTCAGAAACCTAAAATCGGGCAGTTTCAGGGACCCACCCCCAAAAACAAATTCCCTAGTTCCATTCATGAGGTACAACATTGGAACACATCCGAAATGAATGCATCTGTTTTTTTCAATTCAGTGCTTATAATTTTCCCATCACCTGCAAGGTTTGATATCAGCACCAGTGTTCAATTATCACCAGAGATAATTTTCAAATGAGTGCCCACTAACAGAGATAAACTAACAGAAAATTAGAATTAGTATAAAAGTTAGGTTCTCTTGATTTATGGTACTTGTTTTTATGGTAAAATTTATATTATTTAATATTATTTAATGTTTCAATATTATTATTGCATTACGACATTAAATATGTTACAGGTAGTCATTGGTTAACAATGGTGATTCAGACCAGAATTCTTATTGCTAATCACTGTAGTTGTAAAGCGCAATGTCATGTGACCACATCACTTCCTTACAACGCTCCCACATTGGTGTTGTTAAGCAAGGATGAAGAGTCATTAAGCAAGTTCCAGACAGTTTGCAAGCAGATAGGGAGGGCATATGGTTTGAACATGGCAGGGCCAGAGGTAGTTTCTGCCGGGTGGGGGAGGACATAAGCAACCTACCAGGAAAACTTGTAACCTTCTCTGTTGGCTTTCCCATTGACTTGCTTGTGGGAAACTGGCAGGGAAGGTTTAAAATGGTGATCCCATGACTGCAAGATACTGCAACCATTTAGGTGTGTGAGCCATTTGGCAACCACTCAGATTGCAATCACATGACTATAGGGGTGTTGGAACAGCCAAAACTTCAAGGATTGGTCAAAAGTATCATTTGTTCAGCACCACTGTAACTTCAAGCAGTTGTTGAACGAGTGGTTGTTACACAAGGACTACTCATAATGTGAATACATTTGCTTTTACTTCTGTTTTGTCATTTGGCCATGGTATCATATGTCTTTACAGAATAGTCTAGATTTTTTTTTGGCAATTTGAAAGGATTGGTTATTGTGTATACAATATCAGAAATAAACTCCATTGATTTGGGACTTCCCATTAAGTTTGTATAGAATTGTATCTGTATATAGTATAGTATATAGTATATAGTCAAATATAATATACAGGCACTTTTATAAAAGTTACAAATTGGATAGTCAAGTCAAAAACACTAGTACTAAAATTATAATTCTGTAATAAAATGATATTTAAAGTACAAGTCGAGATTTTAACAGAATAAATTTACATCAGTTTCACAGTCAATAAAATATATTATACTGGCTGATCAACAATGGGGCCATGTAGGCACCATTTAAAAGTAAAGCCTGCTATTTTTTTTTATTTACAAGTAACCTATATATATAAAATTGGATAAGAATAAGAGGAAGACGGGTGTTTTGGATAAAGGACATAGCTTATATAGGATGTAATGAAAAACATTTAGCATTTTTTTCAGAAATTAAGATTGCAATATACTGAGAAAAATGGAATGAATTAGCAAAGACAAGGAAAGCAATAGCTCAAGATTTCCACTGTTGATCCTGAAAACATAGGTGGTAAAATTCCTTGACTCAGTGAAACTATTGTATAAAAGATCCCATATACTGAATTCTTATTTCATGGTAAACATGGCACAAATATTATGAAGTATATAAAAGTATACAAAGGATCTCTCCCACTATTGTCCAACAAAAAAGTATTCCAGCTGAATGAAAATTGCCATTCTTATGCAACCTGATTTGTTTCCTTCTTGTTATGACTTCCGACTGTCATAATCACTGACCATCCTTTTGATGTGGGACAGTTTACTCTTCAGCATCTTGCAGTGTGCTTTTCGGTTCTTATAATCTGCGGACTAAGGACAATGTACAAAGCAGTATTAATGTCAAACTTATTAAAAGTTAATGTTAAGAATACAATGCTAATGTAACTAATACTCCTATTTTAATCCATAAAAATAATCACAGCAGATGGCAGTAGCTGATTGTAAAAAAGTGAAGCAAAGTGGGACCTGATTTAAGAAACCACCAGGACTTACTAGTAAGGACAAAGAAGAAACTGAATACTTTTTGACATGGAACTTGTTTTACCAATGGTTAGAAAATAAAAACAGAAGTTAGAAATGCAGGAACATAAAAAGTATAAATGTTAAAAAGGAAATGTGATAAAATGAATAAACAAAATATAATTATTATAGTATCAATGTTATTGTGATGAATGTAATTGTAAACATTTTGATTATGATTGCCTAAAAACAACTGTACCCAGACAACACACTATTTGATTGAAATGGAATTTTTATATGTTATTCAAATAAAGTAAATAAAACATGGAGGAAAAGAAAAAAACCCACCAGGACATCGCAGAGCTTCTGGGAAATCATAAAACAGCCCAAAGAACACAATGAAAAATCACTCTTATTTTGAGGTCAAGAAAATAACATTTATGCACCCAAGAAATCACCAGGAATTAAGTTTGACTTGAAAAAGGCTATTTATTTCACAAGAGTAATGAATAGTAATAAAATTAAATTGTCCTATATTTCAAAATTAAGAAATTATAGTTCCTACAGCCATAATAGCACAAAAGGTACTTAAATGACAATGTGCTGAACAAACTAAAACTGTTTGTCTTTACATTTGGCTTAGATGCTTCAGAATGCAGAGAAACCTGAAAGCAGCATGTGCTGTGAATTATTGAAGCAATTTGGGTCTATTTCTAGACCTGGGCAATCCCACTTCAGTTATTTTAATAAGTCTTATTTGTGCTCTTGAACATTGTGAAACACTTTTTCCAAATTGAATCCAAATAATTTACTGCCTTAAAAAAGCAAAAAAATATCTCTAACTATGCTCTGTTCTTACAAAATGTGTGAGTTAATTTGCATCATCTAAAAAGAGTCATTACAATTTGTGTGAGTAATCTGCATCCTCCAAGAAGAGTCATTGCAATTTTTAGAATTTTACAGTCTTACACATTACAACCTGATAAGTAATTCCTGCTTGTTTTTATGGAATTAAGTAAACAGATCCAGAATTGCAGTTTAAAAATCAAATTGAGCAGCTATATTAAATAAAGCACAGTGCTCTTTTATTAATGGGATAGCACTCCATCACAATGGACCAAATATGCTCTCTGGGATTTATAAATCAACAGTGTGATGAAGCCAGGCCAGGTTCTATTAGATTTAGAGTAACAACAAATTGACTCATATTACATTACTGAAATCAGAAAGACTTGGGGTTAACAAAATTGAATTTGTGTTTAAAATACTTGCAGTGCCATCTAGTTCTGATAATTTCTCAGCTTTTAATTCTAATTTATGTCCCTGAAATCTGGCTCTGATAGATCTTACAAACCAAAAATCTGCTTACTACTATTACAGATCTGTATGAACTTGGGTTTTCTTGTGACTAATTTGTGTTTTGTCAGCCAAGCCAGGCATTAAAAAATCTCAACATTTATTAGGGACATAGATATCAGATATTGAAATTTCTGATATCAGAAATTGAAAAGACCAAGCTATGCTGATATGCTGGTCTCTTAAGAAATACTATACTGTTAACTATTGTACTGAATCTGGAGCTAATTTTATGTTTAGCATTATACATAGGCAAAGTTGGCCCCTTTTTAATTTTATAAGTTGGTATACATATTGATCCTATATTTCTATCCTTTATTAGAATTAGTACCATCACTTGTATTAGTTCCATCACTTGGACCTTTGAATTTATGTCATGTCTTCTGTTTCTGGTGATACAAGTTCTATCACAATTGCTTTAACTGTGGCAGCTTTTTCTATACATTTAAATAATCTACCTTAGGCATGTCCTCCCTGAGCTATAAAGGCTTTGATAGTCTTTACAACTACTGTCCCCTTAAGGATGCAGATAGTGAATGCCCTTCCAGCTTTCCCTATCTAAAATGGATTGAGGGTCAATTCTTAAAATAACAACACAGAGCAATTAGCATGACAATTGTATTATTGTTAAGCAAAGTGCCCTAGGAATAAGAATATTCTTTCCCCTAACAGTCAGGATTCCTAAGGCAACCCATCTACATTTCCTACTACTGGTAGTTGCAAACTCTTTCTATGAGAAGATCAAACTGTTTTGGTGCCTTCTCTCTGAACCCTATATAAGATTTGCTGTGATCAGTCTATGCACTCTTAGATCTCCAATCACTGTGATTATTGTAAATTTGACTACTATATACTTCTTGCTTCACTGACTTATTTAAGATTTAATGTCATAAATCTCTAGTAGACAGAGAATTGGCTCTGGGGTCTCTGCCTTCTTTGGTGGGTCCAAAGACTGTTCCCACAAGATGGTCCTATCTGTTATTGGTTTGAACTCCAAGTCTGGCAATTTGGTTGCAAAAATTTTATCTCCATTCAAGGAGACATCTTAATGTGCTTTGGATTGTGCTTGTCTGGGAGAGCAATGGCCTTTAAATACTTTCTGAGTCCTGGTCTGATTTTGGGTTGTATTATTGACTGGTTGTAGTAGCTGAGTCACAGTCCTTGGTTTTAAGTACCATCTGCGTGATGTAAATTAGTGCTGGTGTTAGCAGCAACTCAGCAACTACAACCAGCCAACACAAACCAAAATCAGATCAGGGACTCAGAAAGGTATTTAAAGGCCAGTGTTCCCCCAGACAAGTACAATTCAAAGCGCACTAAAGATGTCTCCTTGAATGGGGACAAAACGTTTGTGTTACATATGTTGTGAGGGGGAAGACGCAGGAGCCATGGAATCAGAGAGTAAGATGTTTGCATACTCAACACTCCTCTAACATTTGCATATATAACACTCCTTNCTCTCGCCTCACAATCAGGAGGCTGAGAGTTCAATCCTAGGTAGAGGCAGATATTTTTCTCTCTGGGCCCACTGAAAATATATCTGCTGAACAAAAGTCTGCATTGACAACAGGAAGGGCATCTAGCCATTAAAACACTCTGCTAACTCCATTCATTTGCCCAGACTCCACCCCACAAGGTAATCATCGTCTTCTTCATTGTGAAATGAAGATGATGATTATTAAAAAAGAAAATACATCAATAATCTAAAATTTGCTGCAAGGCAATTGTTTGAAAAATAGTTTTAAGTTTCTTGCAGTGTCACTAAACACACTTCCCATTATGCTATTGCTGTTGTGTCAGTGTCCTCTGTCTCTCTAGGCAGCAATAAACTACCAGAGGTCCAGGGATGAAATTTGTTCCCAAAGCCCTCTTTGTAGCATGTTTTTTTTATCATTTTGAAGCAGAATACACTTTTAAAAAGAACTCTGGAATATAAACATTAAAATAGCTAACATAATTTAAATCAGAACAAGTCCATAATTTCCCTCTAAAATGAAAGGAAATAACTCCTTTAAAATCACATTATCAACTTCCTTCCACTATCACCCTGCAGTTGTCAAGAGACTCATTACATCTTTAGTGTCGCCCACAACCATCAAAAGATTTCTTAGCCATGCTTCAAATGCACGACAGAAAGGGGGAATTGGTACTGTGAATGTTTTCCAGGCAACAAAGAATTCAACATTTTACAATGGTTATTGAACACAACCAGAAGCATATTAAAGATATATTAGAGAATGGTTACAAATAAAAATTCTTTATATTGCATGGTCAGGAAAAACAGAGAACTGTTATATATATATATATATATACACACACACACACATACATACATACATACATACATGTAGTATTAGCACTGATGGACAGAGAATGGAAGCAGTTAGCTCCGATGGACAGAGAATGGAAGCAGTTAGCTTCCTCCCATAATTGGGGCATACCAGGGGTTGTGACTTTAAATAAATATATATATATGTTAGATTTGTGCTGATAAATAAATAAAGGGAGACTAGTATAGATCTATTTCAAGCTATTTAGCTCTCATCAGCTAGCCATACCCTTACTGGGNCAGTAAATGAGTACGAATAAATGGAGACAGTAGGACAGGGACGGTAAGCACGCTAGTGCGCTTATGTACGCCCTTATGCTCCTCCCTTGTGGAGGAGACACTCTAAGGTATCTTTTTCTTGATAGGGGAAGCGTTCTGCTGAATCGAACACAGTTGTTTTGAGTATATCAAAGATAAAACCCAATTCTTGAGTTTTGGATTTTAGTCCCTTCCGGATCAACACCACATCGTTCTCTGTGTCGTTTTTATGTGCAATAGTTAGGCGTACGGTATCATTAGACCTTGAGTCAGAGCAATCTATAAAAATGAAGAATGGAGAAGATGCAGATCATAGATTGCAGTGCAATTGTGATTGAATATCAGTGTATCCCCGCTCCAACTTGCTACACAGGTACAAGTTATAGCAAAAGAGGAGGAAGGGCTCAATTTGAATCCTTTCTATTAGTTAGGGGGGAAAGGCATCATCAGAGTATATAATATATCCACATGTTGTCTGTGTAAATATGGACATTTTACATCAAGAGCACCGCTGGTTCCTGCAGATGCAACTGATTGTTGGATTGAATTGGCCTGACACAGAGGGGTCAATTTAAGACAGATTTATTTATTTATTTATTCATTCATTCATTCATTCATTCATTCATTCATTCATTCATTCATTTATTCATTTATTCATTCATTCACTTGTACAAGATAACAGGAGTAAGAATAAACATGAATAAGAACACAGGTAATGGGTTCAAATAAATGGGGACAGTAGGACAGGGACGTTAGGCACACTGGTGCACTTATGCATGCCCCTACATACAGTTGTGTGGGTATGCATAGGAAGGGTTTGGTTCAAAAGACACTATTTGCTTCTTACTATTATCTGTACCATCAACACTGGAAAATTGTAATAAATCACACTTTCTCAGCCTAAGTT